ATACTCTTTAAATTCAATGCAAAATAATATTAATAATAATAATACTAATAACCAAAAAAGAACATCTTAATATGTATATTTTAAATAAAAAATCAAATAAAACAAAGTAACACTTCTAAAACAAATAACACTTTTCAGATCGAAATTAAACCCTTGAATATGTACAGTTTTATATACAACTATATAAACAAACAAACAAATAAATAAATAGGCACATATTTAATTTACTAAAATAAGAATTGTAGAATATGTAGAGCTTTATATAAACCTATATAAATTAGGTAAGACACCTGAATTTATATATAAACCTATAGACTAGAATGAACTCTTTAATTCAGTCAGAACTCTACAGTGCTGTGTATTATCTAAGGCTGATGTTATCAACATGACCGAGTCAAATCAGGTTATGAGGGTCAAATTAATTTTGAAAAAAAAAAAAAGGCATTGCACTTTTAGTGAGATGAGACCTACCAGAGCCCTGACCCCCAAGCTGAGGAGAGTTATGCTAAAAATCAGAAATGTCCACAGTGCAGCCGAGTGGTCCATGCTGAAGGAGCAGTTTAAACTGATATAGCCTATTTTCCCGTCTTTTACTTCCTGGACTTGTCAGCAGGTTTAGACTTGAATTCCTCACCTCCATCACTACACACTGTTCGATCCACTTGACTGTAGTTACTGAATAATTTGGAGTAGTTACTGAACAACAGTCTGGCTGATTATGGAGATGAATGTGTTTACTTTAGTATCAAACATTTTGTCGACTCTTCTTTAGTCCTTTATTCACTAAGAGGCCTATAATGTTAGGGGAGACTGTGGAGTTTGGAGAATCCTACTCATGTTCAGATGGAATGGTGGGAATAGGGATGGGAATTTATAGAAATTTTTTAATGCGTAATTTGAATTATATTAAAATAACCCAAGTGCATACTAAATGGAGGAGACACTTATGGCAAAAAACACTGATATTCTTTTTTTTTTTTTAACTTTTAACCTGTAAAGTTAGCAGTGTAATGTATTTTCAGAATTGTGACAATGGACTCCTTTGTCTTCTTTTATTTGTCTGTTTGTTCTCCTGTATTCTTTCTTTCTTTTTTCTTTTCCTGTTCTATTTAATAGTAATAATAATAATAATAATAATAATAATAATAATAATAACCAAAAATAAAAAAGTAATATCTTAATATGTACATTTTAAATAAACAAACAAATAAAAAAGTAACACTTCTAAAACAAATAACACCTAATATTAAAACATTTAAAGAGACAATAATAAAATAAATAAATAAACATATAAAAACAATGCAATATCAAAGCAAAACGTTTAAGATAGAAATTAAACCCTTGAATATGTGCAGTTTTATATACAACTGTATAAATAAAGAAACAAACAAACAAATAAATAAATAAATAAATAGGCGCTTATTTACTTTACTAAAATAGGAATTGTCGAATATGTAGAGCTTTATATAAATCTGTATAAATATATACCCCACGAACTTCACATGTGAGTACTCAAATGAATCTCATGGAGAATTTGCACATGTGGGTTTTAGACACGTTATGTTACCTAGTTTGTGACCTAGTGAGCCAATATCAGAATGTATTTTTGATAGACTTCAAAGCACTATTGTAAGTCGCTCTGGATAAGGGCATCTGCCAAATGCCACAAATGCAAATGCAAATGTTCCACATGTACTGCATGTGTTTTTACATTTTACGTATACTGAATTAAGTGTTTTGTAATTTAGTTTAAAGGGTCTGTGTACATTTTAATCATTCGTTTCGTGCATTACATGGCTACACCCTGTGCATTAAAAGGTAATATTTAAACTTTATAGCCTATTTTCCCGTCTTATACTTCCTGGACTTGTCAGCAGGTTTAGACTTGAATTCCTCACCTCCATCACTACACACTGTTCGATTCACTTGACTGTAGTTACGGAATAATTTGGAGTAGTTACTGAACAACAATCTGGCTGATTATGGAGATGAATGTGTTTACTTTAGTTTCAAACATTTTGTCGACTCTTCTTTATTCCTTTATTCAATAAGAGGCCTATAATGTTAGGGGAGACTGTGGAGTTTGGAGAATCCTACTCATGTTCAGATGGAATGGTGGGAATAGGGATGGGAATTTATCGAATTTATCGAATTTTTTTAATGCATAATTTGAATTATATTAAAATAACCCAAGTGCATACTAAATGGAGGAGACACTTACGGCAAAAAACACTGATATTCTTTTTTAACCTGTAAAGTTAGCAGTGTAATGTATTTTCAGAATTGTGACAATGGACTCTTTGTCTTCTTTTATTTGTCCGTTTGTTCTCCTGTATTCTTTCTTTCTTTTTCCTTTGCTGTTCTATTTATTTAATAATAATAATAATAATAATAATAATAATAATAATAAATAAACATATAAAAACAATGCAATATCAAAGCAAAACGTTTAAGATAGAAATTAAACCCTTAAATATATACAACTGTATAAACAAACAAACAAACAAACAAATAAATAAATAGGCGCTTATTTACTTTACTAAAATAGTAATTGTCGAATATGTAGAGCTTTATATAAATCTGTATAAATATATACCCCACGAACTTCACATGTGAGTACTCAAATGAATCTCATGGAGAATTTGCACATGTGGGTTTTAGACACGTTATGTTCCACATGTACTGCATGTGTTTTTACATTTTACGTCTACTAAATTAGGTGTTTTGTAATTTAGTTTAAAGGGTCTGTGTATATTTTAATCATTTGTTTCGTGCATTAAATCGAAATTTTTAAAAAAATGGTTTTTGATTTTTTTTTTTTTTTTTTGTCTGTAGTGGAACAAACTGTAATTTAATTATTATTTGGTACAAATCATACATAAAGTGAGGGGAAATAAGTATTTAGACTTTTGGTTGTTTTTGTTATTTAATATACATTCAGTGCATATATCCACTGTAAATTTAGACACATTATGTCTTTTGACTTACGTACAAATATAAAAAAAAACAAAATTGGTAGGGATAGAAGTATTCGGACACTATATGCAAAGGTAACTGTGACGAGGAGGAGGGAGGGGCCAGGCTATGAGGATGCACGCCTGGCACTGAGTTGGCTAATCAGTGGGAGAAAGGGATAAAGGAGAGCCCTCTCCTCTGCGGGAGGATCACGGCGATGAGGAAGTGTGGTGCTGGAGCGGTTGCTGGAGGACAGAGGAGTTGCTGCCAGCCGCCTGAAAAGGGCAGGAGTCGCTACCAGCTACATGAAAAGGGGAGGAGCGGCTGCCGTCCACCTGAAAGGGGAGGAGTCACTGCCACCTACCTGAAAAGGTAGGTAGAAACCTCCGCCTGAAAGGGGAGGAGTCACTTCCAGCCGCCTGAAAAGGGGAGGATTCACTGCCTTCTGCCTGAAAGGGGAGGAGTCACTTCCAGCCACCTGAAAAGGGGAGGAGCGGCTGCCTCCACCTGGGGACGGAGGACCCGCTGTCGTCCGCCGGGAGGCGGAGGTGCGGCTGCCTTCCGCCTGAAAAGGGGAGGAGCCGTAGCTGTCCACCAGGAGGCCCAGCGCCAGCACCCAGCGTTGTGAGGATCACTTCCCGGCTGGCTGAGCATGTCTGGGGACTGGGGAACCAGTTTTTTTTCTTTTTTCTCTCTCCTCTTTCAGGTGGACGGCAGCGACTCCTCCGTCCTCCGGCAACCGTTCCAGCACTACACTTCCTCGGCACAGGGATCCTCCCGCAGCAGCGAGGGCTCTCCGACAGCGCGTCCCTCCTCCCTCCCGGGTTTCGGCACCAATGTAACAATCTTCAAAGACGGGCAAGGAGAAGGCGGGAACCGAGTGAACTGCAACGTAAAGTTTAATAACAAACAAAACTCAAACATAACAGAAACAAACGTAGCGCCAACATAAAGGTAGCACCAACTCCCCCTCAGCGTCTCCAGCCGCTCCTTTATCCCTCTCTCCCACTGACTAGCCAACTCAGTGCCAGGCGTGCATCCTCACAGCCTGGCCCATCCCTCCTCCTCATCAGTTACACAAAAATAAATCAAGATACAAATGCTTCTTAGGCAAATTACACTTGATGTCATTATACAAGATGTTGCCATTGGTTGGGAAGATTTCATGCAACAAGTAGTTATTACGATGAAGGTGAAGGAGCATCTTAAAGTTCTAAGGGACAAAATTATTAAACAACAATCAAGTGGAAGAAGCTACTGACTTTATACATCCCTGTCAGTACAACTGATTTGATAATATACAAGTGGAAAATTCATGAAACCACCACTAATCATCCCTGGACAGACTGATGATAAGGAAGGAAAGAGAGAAGCCAGCAGTTGCTTGAAAAGAGTTACAGGGCAACCTGAAAGCAGCAGGAACAACAGTTACACAGAGAGCAATAAGCAATGACCTGCACAGCAATCATTTCCATTCCATACACCTGACGTGTAAAAATCTGCACAATCTCTTATTCTTCTACAACCCTGCTAGTCAAAATAACCACAGCATCTACCACCTTTGGCTGCTATACATCCCATTCATATGCAAGTTGCCTATTATCTATAGGCTAACAAATAGACGGATTGGTGGGTGGGGTGAGGAACGGAAGTGGTAATCGCTACATAGCTAGAAATAAGCTGTAGATCCACTTAAATGAGTCAAATCTTCTTGTTGGAATATAGATACCTAGCCTGCACACATCATAAATCATTACACAATTTTTAAAATTAATTATTTTAATAAACAAGTTTGTTGTGTGCTGACATGAGCTTAGATATAATAGTTTTCTATAAATGCCCAGTATGTATCGCTATTACCCCAATACTGTGCTAATATATTCAGTCCAGTCCAGTCAGGTAGGAAGTATGGTAGAGAGTGGGCAGAGAATAGAGACCCTAGGAAGTAAGACATGTACTTGTCACGATATTGAAATATAATCTGAGCTTGAGTGTCTTTATTTAACAGATTTAAATTTAAGTTAGCTATTTATTTAATACTTAGCTGATAGGTGGCTCCGTGGTTAAGGCTCTGGGTTCCTGAACAGAAGATTGGGGGTTCAAGCCCCAGCCCTGCCAAGCTGCCACTGTTGGGCCCTTGAGCAAGGCCCTTAACCCTGTCAGCTCCACGGGTGCCATATCATGGCTGACCCTGCACTCTGCCATCAACTTCCTAACAAACTGGGATATGCGAAGAAAGCAATTTCACTGTGCTGTAATGGAGATGTGACAAATAAAGGCTTTGTCTTCTTAACACCATCCACCACTACAGCATTCTCCTGTTGTCAAATAATGCTAGGGGTGGGAGTAAAAAAGTAATTCAAATCTTATTCAACTCCAGCTATTTAACCCTTAGAGTCCTAATCTTGCCAAACTTTGACAAATCCTACCTAATGCATATTTAAAAAAAAAAAAAAAAGCTTTGTAAAACCGTGGACGTGGAGAGATCTTTAATTTTAGAGATCTTTCGCTCAATTTAAAACTGAATTTTAAACTGAAATTAATGCTTAAAACTTAAAGAATATACTCTTCAGAAAAAAGAGTAAAATATATATTTTTTAAATTTGCTGTATTGACAAAAAAAACCACAATTTGTTTGTTTGTTTGTTTGTTTGTTTGTTTATTGGCTTGTACATTTTATACAGTTTAAATGAAATAAAAGACAATTGTATCTGCATTCAGATATCAACATGATTATTTTGTAATTTCTCACAGTATGTTTTTAACATGTTTTATTGCCAAAAATGTAAATACTGTTTAAAAAAAGTGTCGAACTGTCAGAAACTGTAGTCTCTTTCAGAGTACACAAAACTGCTGTGCGAATCATAAAACTTTCCTGAGAAAACATCAGTCAGGAATCTGTGCAAACTGATGGTCAGTTTATTATCTGGAGAGTAAAGGCTGTTAATGTCAGAGCGAATGTGCAGCGGCTGTATGATTACGTTCAACATTTCATTACAGGAATTTGAAAATTGCATTGTGTGCGTAAAAAAATGATCAGTTTTAGCAAAACATTTTCTTAAAATTGTCATTTAAAGCTAAATGTCTACAATAATACACTAATCTCTATAAAAATAGAAGAACAAGAAGAAGAAGAACAAGAAGAAGAAGACTTAAAATGTCTACTACTGATTTTTCAGCAATCGGCTAAAGTGCGGATTCTCTGGCGAGGGAGAAAGAAACGATTTTTCAAAACTCCTGGACTGACATCTGCAGCGCCCAGAAGAGCTGCACATCTTCATCTTCACTTTCATTCTGTAAGAACAACACAACACATCTTAGTGTGTGTAGACATTAATTTATCAATTATAATTAATGCCGTGCTATTATAGGAAAATAATCAATGTCGGGTTGGTGTGATAAAGCAAAGTTAATGTTACCAACACAAAGATGATTATTTCCATGTAACAGCACAACCTGAACTGTTTTATTCCTCTTATACCACAGCAATCTTTCAATATATTAAAGAATGAAATGTCACCTTTAAATCTGTTTTTAGTTTATAGTTACATTTAAAACAAGTTAGTTCCTGTTCGCACTTAAGTTTTAGGAGTTATAAACTGTCCTTTCCTCACCAGCCTCTCTTTTTTCTCTCTCGTTTTTTGAAGTTATTAAGACAAAAAACACAGTTTGTCATGTTACTGAAAAACCACAAAGCGTAAACTCCTCTTTAATGAAGATGTCAGAAAATTTAAATCGCTGACACTGGAGACAAATTGATGTCTTGGGGCTGCAGTTGCCGCGAGCAGTTTTGCACTCAGGACTCCATCAGTGGACAGTGGATAGGTTTGACAAACCAGACTTCACAAGAAAACTGTAATGAATTTACTGGTTGCACAATTGCAGTATTTGTCCATGCAGTACACAGTTATACAAGGGATTTATTTATAATTGCACTATCTGTTATCACCCAGATGAGGATGGGTTCCCTTTTGAGTCTGGTTCCTCTCAAGGTTTCTTCCTCATGATGTCTCAGGGAGTTTTTCCTTGCCACTGTCGCCTCTTGCCTTGCTCATTAGGGATAAATTCACATATTTACAACTTATTTTGGTTTAATTTAATTTGAATGTATTTATTTGTGTAAAGCTGCTTTGTGACAGTGTCCATTGTTAAAAGCGCTATACAAATAAAATTGAATTGAATTGAATTGAGACTCCTTTTCCACTGTTAGAATGAGTGCATCAATAGAAACGCTGAGGTATAAGGTGTATTATTGCTGAAGCTATAGCTGGTTAATCTCAACTAATGTCAAAGTAATGCTACACAGGGGAACCTGGTACAAATAAATTGCTATAAAAACTAAAGTGGTGCAGTAATGCAGCAGGGTTTTCTTCTCCTTCTACCTCTCAGGGTTTCCACCCCACAATAGTGAGAACTGGAGGAGAGCTGAAATGAAATAAATAGACTGCTTTGTGATTTTAAAAAGTCATGCTATAATTTACCACGTAGCTGATGTAGCTGAAGCAGTGTCTCAGCGCCAAATGGCCAATAAAGTTACGGCTGGTGTAGTTGGGGTTCCCCCACGGCATACACACACAGATTGGACACACCTTCAAATAGAGTGAGGTTCATTTAATCATTCACTGTTACATATTTATACATATACATATATATACACACATAAGATATAGTTGCACTACAGTGTAAACTTTACCTGTTACAAGCTGAAATGTGGTTTACAGTTTATCTCTTTGGTAGAAATAGCACTTATCAATTAGAGACCATTGATAAATATGGAGGAAATATTAGAGGTAATTAGTTTAAAAGAATATCTCTGAGAGAAAGATTTTTAGATAAATCAGTTTAATGGAAGATCTCTAGATAAATCAGTTTAGTGGAAGATCTCTAGATAAATCAGTTTAATGGAAGATTTCTAGATAAATCAGTTTAATGGAAGATTTCTAGATAAATCAGTTTAATGGAAGATTTCTAGATAAATTAGTTTAGTGGAAGATCTCCAGATAAATTAGTTTAGTGGAAGATCTCTAAAGACATTAGTTTGGTGAAAGATCTACGAGAAAACTGCTCTGGTGAAAGTTTGATGCTGTGGATCTTACGATTGGAGTGTTATCTTGATGATGTTGGCGAACACAGTGCTCCACCAGGGCCGTGTCACTGAGGTCCATGAGTGAGCAGTAAGGACAAGCGTACACTCTCCCTGCACTGGACACATACATGCATAAAACCAGTCAGAAGCACAACATGCATATAGGCTTATTTGTTTGTTTTCCATTAGTCCTATACTGTATATAAGAGGTTCTCCCAGCCTAGGAGTCTGTGAAGCACAGCCAGGGGGTCTGTAATTTCTGTTTTTACTTTGCTACACTGGTGAAAATCACAATTCACCGTTATTAAAATTATAATAGTTATTATTGAGTTCTTATACGTATTCGCCTGTTTGACTGGTCACTTGAATTGAATGGCTTTAATCCAAACCTTAAACACTCAAAAACAAGTTCACCTATAAATTCTGTCAAATTGAACCTACTGTGTTCTGTCCATTGAAAGTTTAGAAATAAAAAGATGCAAAAAATATTATTACATTTAAAATAATGAGCCTAATATTTGAATAGTTTTAATTTTTTTAAGTGAAATTTATTTTATATTTAAAAAATCCCTAGCTGCAAAAAGTTTGAGACCCATGCTGTATACAATCCAGTGTACATGCTCTATGGTTTATTTATTGTATCGTAATAATAACTGCATTATTTATTGTAGTTTCTTCTAAGAAGTCACTCGAAAAAGCAAACCTCAGGACTAGACAACTGAAAAAAAAAAAAAAAAGTTGGTATTGTGATATCAAAAGGCCATAATACTTCATACTGCAGACTTTTTAAATGCATGTAATATTTTAATTTAAAAAAAGATAAGATAAGAAATCTTTCTCATTATACTTGTGTACAATGACGTCAATAAAATAAAATCAAATAACATTGTAAACTTTATACACCAGACTTGACTTGCTCAAACAGTGGAGTTCAAAAGTCTCAGAGCATTAGTGAAAATGCTTCTCTTTGACGCATTCCTTCCTAATTTAATACAATATTTTCAATCAATTATTTCTATTATCAGCAACAACTTGTATGAAAAGTAGAATCTTAGAAATTTTGGCATAAATTGCAGGATTTCTTTGAAAGTATTTGGTTTGTTCCTCTTTTGCTTTAATGATCGCGTGTACTCAAGCTCAAGGAAGTTTGCGTAAAACCTGACGATCCATGTTAGACCAGATCCTCGGAGCATCATCTCACGCACACACACACACACACACACACACACACACACACTACAACTACTACTCAAAAGTGCATGTGTACAATATATAGCTTGCTACAACGTGCTTAAATGGAAGGGATAAGACTTAAGGACTTAACATGACATTTAAATCATGACCTAGAAATAATGTTGAGTATTCAAAATTATGAATATTTCCTTTCCTTGTTTAAAATTCCAAAGCATTCTGTTTATTTCCAACATCACAGATTTTCAAAGTAGGCCCAGCCTTTTGTACCCCACTGCATATAATATAAAGATATCAAAGTATGAAATCTCTGTAATTACAGTGTGTGAGATAATCAGTAACAAACACAGATAAGATGACGGCAGGGCCAATAAACACAGGCGGGAAGTTTGCACCATGTCTATGTTAAGATAATGATCATTTTCATTGTCCATCAATTTGCCTCTTTTTGTGAAAGTAGGTGGCTCTTGGCCACCATTGGGGACAAAAATTACCAGACTCTAGCGAAAACTAGAGACAGACTAGGCCTTAATCTTACTTTTAGAAACATTATCTAACAACATCTGGTATACCTGTACCCAGTGATGGCTGGTGAGACAACAAAACACTGAGTAAGTTTTTATTGATGGTATAGTAATAATGTGGGGCAAAAACAATAGACACACAAACAAAACACACACACTTAAAGACATACAGCTACATTCATGATTTCTAATTTTTTAAGTGTTTCAGCTCTATAATGCTCTACTGGCTTCATGTTTCCTTTGAATACCAAACAGAAAAGTTTTAACCCTTTCATGCAAACCAAGAAGACCTAACCATACGGTTGTCACACCTTTTGT